ACGCAGACGGCCAGAAAGGCCCGCGCATTTACATTTTCCCGCCTGACCCCATCAGTGCCGACCCAACTCCACCACCACACGCACACCTCGCGGCGGATGCGCAGCAGCAAGAAGGTTTCGGTCATCCCTTGAGGGTGAGTCTAGCCCTGCTCGCCAGAAAGACCCCCCCCTTCGCTACAACCCATGTCTAAGCAAAAGCTTGTCGAGGAGCGAGGGGAAGAAGGGTTTGCATGATTTTGAAGGTGTCTCCAAGGAACGTACGCGATGCATCACATCGCAACTCAGGCCTCGCTCCCGGACAAAGCCGAAGGCATCACCTTCTTCGAAAAACGACTGCCTACCTCCTTTTGTGTGTTTTGTGTGTATTCATGCAAATATCTTTTAGAAACATACCATTGGAATACCTTCTGCGCGAAAAGCCTTTTCCACCCGACCACCTCGCCATTAAAGCGCTCGAAGCCGGCGAAAGACGTCTCCGGCCGCCAGCAAAGACTGCCATATCTGTTAAACGCGGCGGTGTTCAAATCGTATCCATAGGGACGGGCGGGCGGCTTAAGAGCGACCTGTTTGGCCCCCAGGGTCGGTGCCATGCATAAGACTGCAGGGAGGCAGGCCGTTGAAATCTGGGCTTGTTTGTATTTTTCTAAATACATGGACTGTAGGGCACAACGAGGCCATCTCTATTTAGTGAGACGCGGATAGATACCCATTGGCCGTTCAGAATGCTGCATGGGATGAGAAGAGAATCGTTCCGCGCGCAGTTGCTGGTCTGTCCCAAACAAACAAGAGCGTGTGAGTCTGCTGCAGCCAAGGGGTATCTGGGAGACGACCATGTCCTTTCGTGGACGGGGTATCGTGCCTCTGGATCTAAAGCGGCGCCTGTCTCATTTGAAGTACGAATGCGCTTGCTTCTCCTTCCGTTCGCGGGGTTGCATCGTTCCGAATATTGGAGATACACTGCCGTATAGGACACAAGATAACAGGCTCAACTCCCGCACATTGGGGCCAAAAAAATCCCTCGCTTACGCTGCTAGCAGCTGGTCTCGGGCACTAAAAATCGTTTCCAACGCCTGTCATGATGAGTACCTTTGGCCGCCGTTGGCCTACAGCAGTGTGTAGGCCTCGTTTTCTCTGTTGCGGGGATGTGTCTACGGGTGGGAAGCTCCGGCCTGCAGATGATGAAATCAGACTGCAAGGTTGACTTGCGTCGTCCCATGCTTGTGCTGCCGACAGCAGGCAACGGGTTCTAAGAGTCACACCCAACGCCTCCTATGATGTGTACTTTTGGATGCCCTTGGCCTGCTACAGCAGTCTCGTATGCTGTGCTTGTCTCTACGTGCTGCTGCTGTGCTGCGTCTGGCTTACAAAATGTCTTACAGCGTTGGCGTGTGATTGATGGGAGACGGGTATCTACCCGGTGTTACTACTCGAATACATAGATGAATTGTTGGAAGTTCTTCCGTGTCTTACAAAAAAATGCCTTGTGATTTATCCGCTTCCAGATAAGTAAAACACCCACATATCATGCATATGATGAGACAACCCCACAGAATACAGCATATGGTGTCCATACTTTTGGATCTCAAACAAGGAGTCGAGTAAGTACCACCCGGTTCACGTAAGAAGCCACACGCCTGAGGTTAGGACGTATGGAATCACGGAACCCATGCTACGAAACCGTGGTTCTTGATGACATACAAGATGGTCCAGCAGGCCACATTTGCAAAAAACCCTCTTGAGTCCAGGCCAATCAGTCCGTGTGGTTCTTCACTGCAAACTGCAACAAAAACTTCTCTTTCTCCATACTCCATACCCGCCTTCTTGTGTACTCTTTTGTGCCTGCCAGGCGGTAGTATAATAGTAGTGATGGATGGATTTTGAGGCAACTCTTCCCTTTCGCTGTTTTCGAGAGAGCGTTGTTGACCTTCATCGCCGGGTCCTGTGAGTATCACCCCCGCTCTCTCCCCCCCATTCATTTCCGCACGACGTGGGCAGGAACTTCACTGTAAGGAAGGTAGTAGTGCTCTGTCAACCCCGCTCAGTACTCAGTACCACACACGGTTTCCGAGGGCTCTTTTCTCGAACGGTCGGTGCCATACCTGTTCTTCTCTTTCCATCATTTTATTTTCTTTGTCCGAGTGGTTTGTACCCTATTTTTGTTTTGTTTCCCGGCGGCGTCGCAAGTGCCGGGTTTTGAGACCACGGGCTCCCCATTTTTTGTGGACTATGGTCTAGAGCTAATGTGAGAAACAACAACAACAAACAACCCTGGAGGTGCACCAGCAGCGCGGTATCTTTTGCAACCATTACAGAGCTGTCGACCCCGTTAGTTCCACGTCCCCTGCGCGCGCGTTTGGCCGCATGCACCGTAGGGCAGTGCGAACACTCCCCCTCCCAGAAGTAGTTTCCACACAACTTGTATCCCTGCACGAATGTGCGGTGGCATGGGTATCCCACACCCTGGTTATCACACCTTCTTTCATGGCTCCCGCGACCTGCACTTTATCACCCGGGCTACACAAGATACAGTACACCCCCCACAGACTACAACACCCGGTGACATGTTAAACACAAAAGTTCAATATTTACTTGCACTCGCTGGTTGATGATGCAACGTCAGAGGACCGCCGTGGACAGGTGCTACGCTGTCGTACAGCAGTAGGCAGCGGCATGCACTCGATCTTGGTCGGGTAAGGTAAGGTGGTGTGTATCCCGACACGGAGACCACCATGGAGATAAAACAATTTCGACCAGAGTGGTAAGCACTACGCGCAGCTGCACTCGTGTACTTGACTGCGCTGTTGTCCAACGCCTACGGCTGTACACATGTGCGGTGCAACTACTGCTGTACGACTTACGCATGCAGCATGCCGGGTAAGATCCCTGCGTCTGTTTTGCCTGCAGGCACGCAATAAATCAACATCGGGCTCAGCACCTTGGACAGGCGAGGCCGTACATGCACGCGTTCACCCACCCGAAAATCCAAAGCGGTGAAGGAATGCTACCCTCTTGCCCAGCCGCCCGGTCTCCTACCCACACTCCGGCGTCGGGGTCCCACACAGCAGCAGCACCAGTAGCAGGGTTTGCAGTAGCGCCTCCGGACATGGCGTCAGCAGGAGCAGGAGGTGTGGCGGTCTTCGTCATGAGTATCCTCGTTCGACCGCTGCTGTGCCAACGTGGCCTCGAAACCGTAACTAGAGAAGCTGTCCTGCGCGGAGAGAGAGCCGCAGAGAGGAGGAATGTAGTCCCCGCGAGGCGTTGGAGAGACAAACCCTTCATCCACGACATCAAAAATAGTCCGAATTTTAACAGTACTGCTACTTTCGTGGTGTTCGGAACCAAACTCGTTTTGGGGGGCACCGTGGTACTGTACGGCGTTATAATCCCAGTACCCTTCAAATGTCAAACACACCTATGATAGCCACCCGGGTTGCAAGGGGCTCCGTACACCCCATTTTTCTTTTTTTTGTTCTCGACCAATGACTCACGGAACCCCTCGCAGCTGGCCTTCACCATAGCGACCAACCGAAGTTTCTCAATAGCTCCGGCTGTAGTTGCGATCCAAAATTAGGGCAGCCCTCTATAGAATCGTCGTGGACACCTCTAAAGTATAGTGGCGTTGAAAAGGTGAAAGGGATCGCACCCGCGACGGACCTCGGAGCGTAAAGTCCGCCAGAGGGGTGGTATCTTCCGTAGAATCTTGCCTACCTGTCCTGCGTCTCCCTGCAACGAGAGAGGGATTAGGGCTGCGTGGAGAGATCTCTGAGGCGAAACGGAGGAAGGCACTGCCGTGCACAACCCACCCAAGGTATGAGCACTTCATGGATCAGAAACATGGGCGAAAATCACTGATAATCGGGCGAATCCAGAGACAAGATCATGTGCGGCACGAACCACCCGGGTGCAGCGGCAGCTATAGCTCAGCAGCAGCTATAGCTGCTTCGTGCAGGCTAAGCCGCCCTTTTGCCTGCACCCGAAGGCAATGGTCCTGTACGGTTACCAACCGCGACGCGTGATGAATGCCGACTCATGATAGGATTGATATTGCTAGATTTAGGGGCGGGCGACAAGATTCAATCTTGTGTGGTCCCCAAAAAATT